AAAAAGTAACAAATTAACAAACAATGAAATATATAGACCGATGCTATTGTTAATTATTATTTTTAAATTATTATTATTCTTCTTATTATTGTTATTATAATTTATATTTATATTATTATTATTATTTAATAATCGTGATTAAGTAGGGACATGATAAAGATTTAAAACCATGTTTTTTATGAGAAAAGTTTTTAAAAAGTAAGGAATTAACAAAAAAACAAAATATCGGACCGATGATATTATTAGTATTATTATTCTTCTTTAAAAAAACAAAGGAAGTTAATTTCAAACAAGATTGTGTCTTTAATGTAAACAAAATCAAAAAGGAAAAAAAGAAACCATTTTTTATGGGAACAGATTAAAAAACGTAAAGAATTAACAAAGAAATATAAGACTGATGTTATTATTATTATTATTTAAAATCGTGATTATTTTAGTACATGAAAAATATTTAAAACTGTATTTTTTATGGGATCTGATTAAAATAGTAAAGAATTAACAAAAAAGAAATATAGGACCGATGATATTATTATTATTTAGAAAAAGCAAAGGAAGTTATTTTTAAATAATAGTATGTTTTTAATGTGAACAGAATTAAAAAGGAAAGACGAAATCGTATTTTTTAATGGGAATAGATCAAAAAATATAGGATCGATGCTGCTATTGCTGTTGTTGTTATTGTTATTCTTTAAAATCATGATTATTTTAGCACATGAAAAATATTCTTTTTAAAAAAGAAAAAGAAATTATTTGTAAACAAGAGTGAATTAACATAAAACAAAATATCAGACCGATGATATTATTAGTGTTATTATTCTTCTTTAAAAAAGAAGGAAATTATTTTTAAACTAGAGTGTGTCTTTAATGTAAAAAAAAATTAAAAAAATAAAGAAATAACCATTTTTATGGTAACAGATTAAAAAAGTAAAGAATTAACAAGCAAGGAATTATAGGACCGATGCTATTATTATTATTCTTTAAAATTGTGATTACTTTAGTACATAAAATATATTTAAAAATATATTTTTTAATGAGAAATCATTAAAAATAGTAAAGAATTAACAAAAAAAGAAATATAGGACTGATGACATTATTATTATTATTACTTAGAAAAGCAAAGGAGGTTATTTTTAAAATATAGTATGTTTTCAATGCAAACAGAACTAAAAAGGAAAGACGAAACCATATTTTTTATGGGAACAAATTTAAAAAATTAAAGAAATAACAAAGAAATTGTATTTTTATGAAAACAGATTAAAAAAGTAAAGATTTAACAAAAAATCTAGACTGATTATATTACTATTTTTAATATTATTCTTTAAAAAAAGAAAAGGAAGCTATTAATATTGGGCTTGTTTGGGAATAGCGTTAGCGATCATCGTTAGCATTTTGAAAAGGCTATCTACGGGCATCGTTTGAGGTTAGCGTTTTAAAGTAATCTACACCGTTAAAATTTTATCCAAAGCGCTACAATACATGAATGAAAATAAAGAGGAATATTTATTCTAATTTTCCTTAATAATATATTTATTATTATTTGTAGAACGGACATTATTAGATAATTGATGGTGTGGTTGATATTGAAAGCACAGTTGAATAGTGCTACCTTGGTTGTAAGACATGCAACAGTAAATTTATTCCAAATGGTTTGTGATTTAAATGCAAGAAATGCAAGAGATATTATCTCGATGGGTGTATAGGTTATATCATTTATATTTTTTTAATTGAATAAATTTACAACATTTTAAAATTTTAATAAAAATGATATTCTATTTATTAGGTACAAGGTAAGCGTATGTGTTATAGACAACTCAGACAGTGCTTCTTTATTACTTTGGGATTAAAAATGTGTAAACCTTTTCGGTATGCAAGCTAGCATGATGAAAATCTTGGTCTACGAGGTATTGAAATTCTAATAAAATGTTTTTAATTGATATTTTCAAAAAGATTGTTGCTTGACTTAATGTAATAATTTATATCCATGGATAATATAACGACATGATGGCCCAAGAAAGATTCCAAAGGAGATTATCGAAATAATTCATGAGAATGCTCTATTCAATGTATTTGTAAAGGGAGATATCGAGAATTAGTCTGATTATGTTAGGAAACCACTTGCAAATCAACTCCCATTCCCTTGACTTTCTTTTTTTTTGAGCGCCAACACCTAAAGAACCACGAGCCGCTGGGTATGGACTTCCAGACGAGCAATCGTGTTAAACGGGCCACAGGCCGTTGGTACAGACTCCATACGGACAACTGGGCTAAAGACAAACGGGCCGCTAGGAATGAACGTCTAGACGGACACCTTGACAAACGAGGTGGGCTAAAACTGGCTCTGATACCATGATAGAATTTGGGATTGGGTAGAGATAACTGGATTGGGGCAATAAGACACTTGAGTTGAACCACATTAAAAGATTTTTAAAAAAACTAGGACTAAAAAAAAACTTGATAAACAACTTGATTTTGATCTGCTTTGACAACAAAGAACGAAGGTGACTGGCCCTGCAAAAGAACAATAAATTTTGTTGACGAATGACTCCCACGCGGTGACACGGGGACGGCTAACAAGCATCCCAAACTTGGAGGCAGTGTTTCCGGACTGAGGCGCGACTATGCGACCAACCTCACAAACAAATATGTCGAACTGAGGCGCGACTATGCGACCAACCTCACAAACAAACATGCCGAACATACAGCTGGTTGCACTTGAACATACCAAAAAGCAACCAAAAACAATGTCGCCAAAAACGTCATCAAATTTCAATGAACGGTAGAGTGAAAATAATACTCCCCCCGTCCTAAAATTAATTTCTCATTTTGACTTTTGCAGTCAAAGTTTTTAAACTTTGACTGCATATTACGGAAAAAATATATTGAATTTTCATATAAATTTAGTATCAATAGATTCATTTTGAAACATAGTTTTGAAATATATTATTTTGATAATGTATATTCATATAAAAATAGAGATATTAATAGTCAAAGTGTCGCATTGGAGACCGTGAAAAGTCAAATGGGAAGTTAATTTTAGGACGGAGGGAGTAATATAGAATAATTCTATATGTTGCAAACTCTAGCAGAGGTCGTGACTTCAGACAAAGGCACGAACATGAAAACCTTCTCCCTAGAAGAGAGCAAACCAAACGAATCCACTCATACTAGCGAAACATACTGCGGAATAGAAGGGCACTTCTCAGACAAAAGAAACCATATCAACAAATGAGTTTGCTGCTTAAAAACAACAATTGATGAAATCATTGGTTGTTGCTGCTTGTTGGTGCATACGGAGTATTTGTAATAAATTTGACCAATTTTAACTCGGCGGCCAAAACTAAGGACGTGGATGACATGAAAAATAACCTTGGGCTCCGAAAATATGTAAAGAGTAGGGTAGCGGAGATCTGGACCATTACTCCTCGACCTCAACTACTGCGGACGAACGGATTGAAACCACCGTCGTCAACAACCGATTCAGCTGTAGAGAACTCACCGAGACTGGGCCGAACAATTCTTGGGCGGCGCGGCAACAGATGATTTTGATGCAATCGGCCTGATGATGGTTTGATAAGGCAAGAAGACAGAAGCACAACGATTGGTAATGGAAATTGATGGTGATGCCACCATCGCCGGACAAATCACCGGCGAAGGCGACAGAAGCGGAATTGGGTAGAGATAACTGGATTGGGGCAATAAGACACTTGAGTTGAACCACATTAAAAGATTGAATCCAATCCATTAGTTAGTTTAACTCAAGAGCTTATATACCGATTAATTTTCTCACACTTTTCCGATGTGGGATGATCTTTAACATAATTCATATGGAATGTATGACCTTATTTGAGATAAGTCAATTATCTCAAAGTATGAAACTATTGAAGCGGACGATTACTTTGACCAAATGTGTAAGGAACATGTTAGATTATTATAATAAAAACCGGTCTTTAGTCATGGACAATCATATGTTGCGATTTCAAAAATAACAAATTGTAATAACTTGAAGATTCTTATTGATGATGCAGAGCATGTTTCCACAAAATATTTTACATAAACAAAAAACATTATATTTCATTATATGGTGTACTTATTTACTTTTATAATAATGCCAACATAAATTTATAACGTTAATACAAATCGTGCAGCGCACGAGTGTGATACTAGTGTCAGTACATTATAAATAAAGCATATGATTAAAGATTTTGAACTCTTCTAATATGAGAATTGAGCATAGGCATAATTGATTTAAGGATTCAAATGCCATCAGTCACCTTTGTAGCAACTCCCTCCGTCCCAATTTATAGTGCATGTTTCGGTTTACGATGTTTGACTGAAATTATTTTCAAATCATTTTATATGACAAATGATATATAGTTAAAAAATAAAAATTACATATTAAAATTCTAAATCAAAAGATCTGCAAAACTAGTAGTTACAATAGTACTTTATTTTATCAAATTGCTAACGAAAATAGAGAAACAAAGTGAACGAAGTTTGACCCTGTGAGTAGTGAACAAACATTATAATTTAGGACGGAGGGAGTATTATATTCCATATTTTCAAAATGCATCTATTTTCTTTTGAAAAATTTTATCTACTCAGATAAATTTCATTGTTTAGACATAAGGTTTTCAAAAAAAATTATTTAGACAGAAGATTCTAGTTACACTTATGTAATCATTGCAATAAATGATTTATTTTGCAATTTAATCAAAAATTTACCAAACACACTTCACAACAAATGGGGAAATGATGCCTCATTGAGTTCTCTACACAACGTAAGTTAAAATAACTTTGGTAAAAGACTAAAAGGTAGTGCTAGCTGGGAATTATAGTCTTACATATAACCTCGAGCTAACCTTCAACCGAGATAAGAAAAGAAAATGAATTATAAACAAAAGAAATTAATTTAATTGCATACTGCATTTAAATCTAAAGGAAGAAGCGACATGGATAAACTCCGTTCCATTGTAATCAACACTTCATTATAAAATTTAGAAGAGGAGTTGTGAACGCAGATCTCTAGCTAAAACATAGTTGATCTGTGTAATTTTCTGATCCAAAATTTCCAGGTAATTTGTATTACACTAAAGTGCACTGTGAGATTATAGGTGGATTTCAAACCTAAACAAAATGAAACCTCTAACATTATTGAAACCAAATTTAATTACCATTAATTACCTTATAGAAATAAAATAAAATGAATTCACCTTGAACTTTAAAAATTGTATCAATGATTTCTCTACGTCAGATTTGGGAATACGTTAATCACACGCTCGTCCGGTACAAGTGTGGATTAATCTAAACTCATATATCACACGTGACGGGTGAGTTTTGTAATGTATTTTACGAAATATTCTATATTTAAAACCCCTTGAAAGGCCAGTTAATTATTACCGCTTTAGTTATCAGTAATCGAATTCGAACTTCGAGTATCAGTCAATCAAGCTCTTCTTCAATCGATCAATCTTTTTATCAATCCATGACATTTTCATCAAGAACCATTGGCAATCTTCGGGGTAATTTTTTAAGTTCAATGAGAATCCGTTTAAATTTTAAAAAGTTCATTGGTAAAAGACGCAATAGTCTAAAATTAAACGATAATGGTCAAAAATTAAAGAAAAATGCTAGGGGTCCTTCATTACCACAAAAATGGGCAAGAAACTAAAACAAAATTAAATAAATAAAAATGGGATAAAAATGAGTGGTGGAGAAAGGAGCGGGGGACAAATGGGGTACACCGTGTACCCTAGCATTGCTCAAAATTAAATGATGCAACAAACTCTAAAATTAAATGACGCAAAAATGGGATAAATTTATAAAGAAGAAGTGAATTTAAGCACACGAAAATCCGATGACTTCTGGAGCGTCCACCACGGGGCCGACCGTCTCCCTCTCCGATGCTCCCTTTCTCCACAGGTTTGGTTTTTTCACAGAGTAATTTGTAGTAATTTTATGCTGTGCATCTTTTAATACGTAAAGAGAGTATTGTGAAATACAACTGGCTCTACGAATTGCGTAAACAGATTAAGGTTTTTTAGATGGCAAAATACTGATAAGAATCGGTTTGACCTATAATTAAATAAAATGTATATTGTATATTAATTCAATAAAATGTTATTTTGAAAATATTTTATATAATAAATCTAATAATACTATTTTTGTATCAAAATCTAATACTGTATCACTTTTTTTAATTCGAGATCAAAGTTTATTAATTTTGACCTGAAAAAGTCCAAAGTGGACAAATATGGACTATGATTCATACCAATAGGGGTTCTCATATTTATGGAGCAAAACCAACATGTCTGATAGTATGAAACAACACAACTGTTGGGATAGTATTCTAATACTACCATTTCGGATAGTATGAGTACTAAGTAGGGAGTAGTATATGCCAATGTTCTAAATTTGTATGTTTTTTCATGTCTGTTTATGCAGGGGTTCAATGAGGCCAGGTGAAAATGGATTTTACTAGCCAAAAAATGGTCTATGAGATACCTGGAGAGCCTGCTATTGTTGTTAATGGATTGCCTCCTGTTCCTCCAAATGGAGAAAATCTTGGTCTCTGCTCCGCAATTATTGATACTGATACTGAGTTATGTAGGAATGAAGGTTTTGGTCAATGGCTTGAGGGAAGAGAAGTTCGAAAGTTGTTTGGGAACCAGTTTTATGCCGGAAAAGTTGACAAATACGATAAAAAAATGCATTGGTATAAAGTGGTCTATGAAGATGGAGACTCTGAAGATCTTGAATGGCATGAATTAAAAGAAATTCTTCTTCCCTTAGATATAAATATTCCATTAAAGACGCTGGCAATGAATATCATAAATAGAAAACATTTGGATATGATGAATATTCCATTAACTACTCAGCCAAGAACGGTCACGAAAACAACACAGAAACCTTTCCAGCAGACTGCCAAAGCTGAGGTTCAAGGCAGAAATGATTGCCAGAGAAGTGGAGGCAAGGATCAGAGAAATGGAGCAGACTAGCAATTCTGGGTTGGTGTATTAATTGCAGAGTATGATCATTGTCTTGGGAAACACTTAGTACTACATCTATTTTCGTACAGATCTAGAATTTAGTGAAACTTCATGCTCGTCTAAGCTCTTTTTTCTTACTCTTCTGCAACAATCTATCCCAATAGAAAAAATGTAGATGCTTTTGGGTTTTTTTTTTGTGAAATCTCTTTCCAGCTAAATGTTGTGTGCATTTTATATGTAAAACCTATTGGGGCATCTGATTTACTTGGGTCTATGCCATACTTGTGTAAGTGGGTTGCTCTTCAGTAGAGTTGAATGCATTGCCAGTGATTGTAGACATTTTTGAACATAGTTTGCACCAGATCAAAGTCTAGGAGGAAATTGTTGTGATCCTTGGTGGGAATAGTTTGTGAATAGACTTTGCACCAGATCAAAGTCTTGGTTAAAATTTGCTAATAACTTGGATTATATAAATTTTTTCATACAATTACTTTTATAATGCAGATTTTAGTAAATGTACAAAATACAAATGTTTGCCAATGGCCAGAGAGAGGGCTTATATAAGGAAGATTCTTGGGATATTGTCATGAAATTAATTATAGAATATTCAAGATTTATGTGTGCTATTTCATGTAATTGTGGGTTCACAATTACATTCTCATTAGCTTTGTCTCTAATCCCGTTTTCCACCATCATCGAATGACTGAAGTAACTCTTCAAAAGAGGGAGTTCTCAGGTTTTCTATGACTTCTTTGCTTGGCAAGTTGAATTTTATCCTCCTTGGAGTTGAATCTGAATGTGCATCCACCTAGTCATTAATGGAAGACATGAACAGATGGAAATCATTTTGGTCAATTAGGGTAACATGATAAAAGTCATAAAACATACTCTGTAAATAACAACAAATTACACTAGAAACTGTATTCATCCCAGATCAATTGCATGCATCCTAGATCAGTCAGTGTGATGTTTTACTATGATAAAAGACATGTAACTTTCTACTGCATTTGAATCTTATTCACAACGTGTGTTAATCCTATGTAAACAACTCATTCTATATGAATTTCAGAGTGGTCAGAAAAATACACAGAGTAAATGTTACAACTCACAAATCGATGAGTTTGTAAATATTTTTACCTTGTAATCATCTGTCAAAACCTTTTCTGCCTTTAATGCAATCTCAGATATTTTCTTTGAATGAGTCATTTCCATTTCTTTCATGCCTTCAAGGCATGGATCAATACATGTTTTGATCTTCTGGCTCTCACCAATATCCAATTCCAGCAAATCTGCATTATAGTGTTTTTATCAGAAGACGTCATAAAATCGTAATGCCCTAAAAAAGCCTAAAAATTTGGCACATACATTCCGAGGAAGAAAGAACATTCTTGATAGCAAGTTCAGTTTCTGCAAGTATGGAAGAAACATGAGCAGAAAGTTGAGCATCGACCTTCTCATGTCTCTCAATTCCACTCCTGAAGTAAACAAACAAGCATGAATAAATTAGTTCTAATAAATTTTTTGTTTTGTTTTTGTTTTGTTTATTGAAGTGCTAGTCCTTGTGGAATAAATACTTAATAATGGAGTCTATGAAGTTGGTATTTGCAGCCTGTTGGCTAATAAGCGATTCTTGAGCATTTCTCCATTGTTCTGGAACTGCATTGGAGATTTTCACACTGCATGTTTACCAAAAAACGGCTAAATTCTTTCATATTTTAAACAAGATTTGTATTTGAAACTTAAGATCATCAAGCTAAAGATTTACCATCCTCTGAGGCTTTCTTCTATGCAACCTTTCCAGGTTTCTAACATAGCCCTGTCTTCTGTATGATGAACCTTTGTTCCCTCTATGAAACTTGTCCATTCTTCTTGGGTAGAACAAGTGCAGTCTATAATGTTTGAAAACTCTTTGTTTAGATGTCTGGCTCTACTATTAGCACACCTTTGAAGAAACTCAAACTCTGCTTGGACCTATTCAGAGTTTCAAACAAGAAATAGAAATGAGATTGCAGTTAACCATACAATCCTTTCGTTTCACATTAACTGATGTTTAAGTTATTTCTATATGTTTGGTTTTACCCTGGAAAATGAAAGTCTTTACCCCCACATTTTCTTTCCTTCTAATTTCTTTTATCTTCATATCAAAGTATTATTTTTCCTTAGTATGCTCTGGGATCCAAATGGACCCTTAAGGAAATATCCTAGAATTTCCCAAGACTTGGGCAAAATTCAACCCCAAAAATTAAGTCAAAGGGTTGGCGTACCCAAGCTATTATAAACACCACAATTCTAGCTTACAAAGCTGATGTGGAAGTTGAACTCCCCCACAACAACATATATGAAAACACATATGAAAATGGAGTACACACGAGCTGTTTCCTCTGAGCATGGGAGCTTGCTAGGAGAGATGCAACTTTTTCTAATATTTCCCTTCCTTCATTTGCAGCCAGCTCCTATCAGGGATTCAAAAGACAAAAGAAACTAAAATGTAAAATGCATATCAAGATAGAGGATAAGTTTTTTTTATAGGTAGGTACCCGTAATTCCGTACCTCATATTTCTTTTCGAAGGAACAGATTTGCTGGCTATACTTTCTTTGTAGTTCTTCCTCCATATGTACCAATTTCGACACAGATGTTGTCAGATTCTTGAAGTAGCTCAAGAGAACATCAGAAATTACTTGTGTTGCTTGGTATGTTTGTGATTGGTTCTAGTACACATAATAAGGGGAAAAAGAAGGTGAGTTCCACTTTGAGAAGCAAAGATGCAAAATCAAGATTTTAATGATTTTCTTTCACCATGACTGTTGTACCTGTTGCTCCTGTTGTAGAAATGTTTTCATCTTTAATTCAAGACTCGTAAGGTTGTTCTCTAGACCATTAAGTATTGAACCAATGTCTGAGGAAATCTTCACAACAAGCTGCATTGAATATGAATGGTTGAAGCAGCAGTTTGGTGGGAAAACATGGCAAGTCTCACTTAAAACAGACCCAAAACTCACATCCATAATCGAAGACGAACATTTTGGTACTTCTGAATTTAATTTTCCAATGGCGACATGAAAATTTTCAGTTTGTTCTTCTGCGGTGTCAGCCAAATTTTGGACATCAGATACATACTTATCTTTTAGCTTCTGGAGCAGATTCTGAAGATCCCCAGTTGCCTATCCTTGGTACAGGCACAGAATCATGAGCTTCAATATTGATTTGAAATTTAATAACACATGATTGAAATCTTTGTTTAACCTTGGACTTTGCAGATAAAAACAATTTTTGTGTTTCTTGTACAGCTTTAAGTTGCTGTGCTTGTTGTGATATAGAAGCTGCTATATTTGCATTTAAAAGTTCAAGCTCTTTTGCCAATTGATTCTGGAAGTTCTGGAGAACAAGTTGATTATTTCCCTCTCTGTGATTATTATTTTCTGTTGATAACATTTCAAAAAGAAACTAATAAAAAAACTGTTAATATATAAGTGGTGAGAATCCCAAATTTCAAGCTCCGGAACAAGGTGTACCTATTTTTCCACATAATCTTGAAACCTCTGATTCTGCTTTTTCTAGCTCAGCTTGAAGCTCAATTGCTTTCTCAGTAAGTGCCTTCTCTATAAAAAGCAAAAGTCGAGAATCAAGTTCAACGTTTTTAAATGTGAACTATTACTGTAAATTTACAAACAAACTAGTATCCATACCAGATGTGATGAGATAATATATTAAATACTGCTTCTGTTTAATGTTTTCTTTGGCTTGACTGTATTCAGCTTCTACTTCAGACAAGGATTGTTCAGTTTTCTTGAGATCTTTCTGCCATTTGAAGAAAAACACGGTATGGGGGAGATTTAAGTCAACTGGGAAGTAACCCTGCTCAATTTATCTATTTTTACCTTGGCCTTTGCAAGTTTTTCGCCTGTATCTGCTGTCAACTTTTGCTGGTTACTGTATAAGCCTTCAAGTTCTACAATTCTCTGTTTCAAAATGTCATCTATTAGCCCGGATATGATCAGAGTCCTAGAGAAAGTTATATAAATGGGTGATACCATGTTTTTCAGCTCAAAATCAATTTCCATGAGCCTCAGGTTTTCAGCCAACAACAAACCTAGTAGAATTAGACTTCCGCTTGTTGAGTGGGGCTTGGGAGGGTGATTATATGCAAACCTTACTTCTACTTGGAAAGTAGAAAGACTGTTTCCAAGAGACCCTCGGCTCATAAGAAAAAGAACTCAAAGAAAAGAAAAACAATGATCCGAGTACAAAACAAGCAAGCACTACCCCATACAGGGCAATCTACAACCCTAAGCCTACCCTGTCACCTTAACCTTTGACCCAAAAGTCTCCTAAAGTCATATCTTCGGTCAGCCCTTGAAGCCCTATATCTTTCCAATTCGTTAATAATACAACTTTACCTATTATGCTCACTTTGAATGTGATTTTCAAGTCACAGGTTGAAACAGGTGAAATAAGAGACGTCGAGAAGATCTAGGAATCTCCGTCCAACATGTTTACTTCCATTTTGGGCAATGTTTTTGGATTTAAAGCAGCTATACTAATATTTACTTAAGCAGTTCCCTCTGCTCCAAAAGAAGTCCTGTTTGAAACGTATTGTGTCCCAAAAAAATCTTGTTTGTACAACAGCAGCTAGTTTTCCTCGTATTTAATGTTTTTTTGTTGCCAAAGCTCTTTTTATAGGATTGAGTATCATCTAACAGTTGTGTTCCTATGGGAGAGGGCTATAGTGATTTTTTGTTTTTGCAATTTGATTGGGTATTATACCCTAATATCAGATGAACCGAACCACCTTACTGGGCATGGGTCATATAGTCCCGCATTCAAGAATAAGACAATTAGCTCTTGGCTAGGACCGACCAACCCCACTAAGGTGGCCCTCCGACCGGTCCATCCTGTCAACCTATTGACAAGACTAGCTGATTACATCATGCCTAGAGCCTAGCCTTCCTCATTATTATATGGCTCAAGCGGCTTGCTCTAGCCTAATTGGAGTCATAGACTGCCCCCAGTTTATTAGCATCATCATTGTCAATAACTGGAAGTAATACCTTTTGTGCAGCATCATTAGGCTGGTATTGTTCTTGTGGTATGCAAATTCCATTCTTTTGGTTAACCTGAAAATGGCAACACATTGATCTCTTCAAGGGCTATAAGACAGGTAGATTGGAAGAACTGTAGAAACGAAGGATACAAATCTCATTCAATATGTTGCTTTACCAACCTCTGGTCTGTTCTTAATGTTCTTAGCGCGGAATGCATAGTCAAGAGTACTGAGAGTCTCATCCAAGCATTGAAGAGATGGAGAAACTGTGGCTATTATGCAGGTTTTTGTCTTTCCTCCCAATGAGTCTCTCAATAATCTTGTCAATTTACTGTCCCTATAATCCCCACATAATTTATTTATTTATTTATTTATCTCTGAGTAAACATTTCCCCATACTCCATAAGTTCCTCAACTTTAGCACAATATATTTACCTGTAGGGAACATGCCCGGAGTGATCAGCCAATGCATTGATGACTCTGCCTAATGTAAGTAAGCTCTTGTTGATCTCACCGGCTTCCCTTGCTCTTCCCTGTATAACACAAAATCCTTGCCTTAGGAATAAAATATGAATAAGGGCCGTGCTATAGTGATGCCAAGAATGACACCACACCGCTGTGTCTCACAGGCACACAAGACAATAACTCTCTTTGCGAAATAGTGTCATATTTGGTGTGACTATATATAGCTTTTACCTATGAATAAACAAAAACAATGCAGTACCTCTGTGGCACCGGAGCGCAAGATGTTCTCAGATCCAGCGAGATCCACAAGGTTCAGCTTCCCACATTTGATCACTTCCCTCCCATCGTATGCATTTCCCATGATTTGCACTGCGATGGAGAATATGGAATGCGACCGGTTGCTTTGTTTGTTGAGAAGGGTCTCTGCAGTATGCTTCTTTGCAGAGCCATCCTCCAGAATTCTGTAAATTTCATCTTCACTGTACACTGTCTCCTCTTGCAAGCCTCTTATGAAGACAGCACTCTTTCCATCTTCCATCAGCTTCACAGCTGTCTTTGGCTCCTCGTCTTCTGGGGAGGAGAGAAGATCGGTTATTTCTTCGTTGTAAAGCTCTATGAATGTCACCTTCATTGTATACTCTGCCTTTTCAGACTCCAGCTTCTTGAAAATCTGCTCTACTGCTCTGGGAATCACCCCTGCATTCTTCTTGAGCTCTCCATTCTATCACCATGGGAAACAAAAATGAAACAAAACCATTCCAACCAGGCCAAACAAGGGGGGAAAAACCATATCAAACCAAACCGAGAAGATCAAACCTTTTCCTTCCCTACTTCCCCTTCCATTGTATACGTTTTTCCAGTTCCTGTTTGGCCGTATGCGAAGACCGTGCAGCTATACCCTTCAAGAGCATCGTCCACAAGAGGCGCCACAGCTTGATTGTACAAGTCTTTCTGTTGAGTTGAGGGACCAAAGACCTCAAATCGAAGTAGAGAAAGATATTAGTATTTCCCCTTTCATAGGTGAGAAAATGAGACAAAAAAATCTTCTAACCTTGTCAAAAATAAAAGTTCTATTTGTCTGTTTAGTAGCTGTGTTAAGGATTGCAGACACCTCATGTTTTTGCTCATCACATGAAATCACTAGGGGTTCTTTTGCCTTCACTTCATCCTCATTTGGTGGTCTTGACAAAAATCATTCATCATATCAAGAAAATGCAACAAAATCATTTGCTATGTGCTAATAAACACACTCACACACATACATATACTCCAAAAAAGGGCAATTTAGTCATTATTACCTGCACCGTAGCACAACCTTTACATTCACGGATTCATCGTCGTTAAAACAGGAATCTCTGGAAGGTTTTTCGCCTGACCATTGTGTTTGGGACACCCATGGAAGACCCAAACTCCCTCTCCTCTGGTGATTACCCTTTGTACTGTCCATCAAAGGATATTTCTCCTGTTAAAATTATAGAGGAAAATAAAATAAGCATTAACATATTAGCTCAATCAATTCTGAAAAAGTCATCAATGCATAGTGACCAAAGACCATAAATGTAAGCCCTTAAAAAATATGCATTAGCTGTTTTTCTTTTTAACTTATTAAATCACCACAGTTCACAATGTGTGTTGCTCCAATAAGCTTTTTAATAATAATAATAATAATAATAATAATAATAATAATAATAATAATAATAATAATAATAATAGTAACAATAATAATAATACTTGTTAATGGCTGATAATGAAATTTTCTCTAAGAGAAAGACTGTTTTCTCTGTTATTATATCAACATAAAATTGGAGGGGGGAAAAGTGAAAATTCATAGCTGTTACAAACATTTACAAGCATAAATGTATTTGGAGCGTTTAACTACTTCTCCCTTAGTCATATAAACTTCTACTAAGACTTAAGTCATTAAACATAACTGATGACCTTGCCGGGGATGTTAATTTCACGTTACAAAAAGAAAAAACAATTAAAGTAAAATGCAGTGTAATAAATAAGTTTAGCTAACAATTCTAATTTATTACTCTATTCTGTAATAATATGTGCATGGTGAATTATACAATATATCGGGATGTACCTTCTTTTATATACATCCAATGAGTATATTATCCTTTATCTATTCAAAAATATTAAAGACAAAAATCCAAATTTCAAAAGAATTGAATATTTACTTCTTCTATTTAATTCTCCCATTTTAAATTATTTTCTCCCTTTCCTTTTATTTATTTTTCTAAAATGATAATTACCTCTTCAAAAACTTATTAATTAAAATTTATCATTTACAATATTTTACTCGTATTTCCACTAATCTTAAAAAGTACACATAAGTTTTGGCGTTTGAATATTCTTTTTAGGAAAACAATATAGTGATGTCATCCTCCCTAGTATTGACTTTAAAAAATGATTTTTCTTTCCCTGAATTAATTCAAAAAAATATATATTAGTGATCATATGATAATTCTCCTTTGCACTAATTCAAAAAAACTAGATTATTGATTTAATGATCGATTTAAGAAGATGATTCTTCTATCTCGCATTGCTGAATTAATTTTGATTAGCGAAATATATATTATTCATCTCTCCAATGTTACGGAGTAATATGATTATTGTCTCTCGCATAGATTAAAAAAATAATTTGTATGATCCTTCTCTCTCCACATAATTCAAAAAATAAAATCTTGAATTATGAATCCTGTGATTCGAAATAATTAATTTAAAAAATCATTAAAATTCCAATTATCCCCCACCCCCACTACACTAATTCAAAAAAACTAATATAAAAAACATTATATGAGTCTAAAAAAATTTAAAAAACATTTGAATTTTTTCCCCAATTTTTCGCTTTCTCCTTGAATACAAAATCTTTCATTTTTAAACTTATATGAGTTCAATATTTGATCATTTAAAAAATACTCTAGTCATTTGTAATATTTTATGGTAGAGATTAAAATATATTTTTAAGTTTTTAATTTGAAATTATTATTTATATAAACAAAATAAAAACTTACTTCATTTAATCATGTCATAAACAAATATGAATTGTTTAGAGGTTAAGAAAGTATTTTTTGTTAGACGCCTCGCACACCTCTAGAGGGGGGGTGAATAGAGGTGTTGCCCAAAAGACCAGTTTTTTGCGAGAAACGTTCTTCACGGATATTCAATAAAATCCATGCACCACAAACAAAATAAAGTGAAGGATAAGAGCAATGCACACACGATATATACTGGTTCGGCCTAAATGCCTACATCCAGTCCCCGAAGCAATCGTGCCCAGGCCTTCACTAACCCGTCAAACTTAACGGAGTTTGACAATCCGAATACAACTCGAGAACTTGATTTCACAAGCCTCTTATCTTATCACCGAAGTTTTGATTTCACAAAACTCAAGATTTCTTCCACCTAACGTTTGATTTCACAAACCATTAGGATTTCTACCACTTGGTGTAATCCCAACACCAAGAATACAAAACCCTTACAATAAAGTAAGAAAACAAACCGCAACCGAGTAATTCTCCCAACACGGAGTAGATTGTTGCAAATACAATGAAGTCCTTTAGAATATGGCAATATCTCTCAAAGACTCAAGCAATGAGGAAAAACTCAAGCAAGAAATGATTTAGCAATCAAAACAATTGCCTTGCTTGGATATAAGGAGGGGATTGAGTAGAATCTCTT